GGCCTTGAGCATGGTAGTTCCATTGCTGTCTATGCAGGGTCAGAAAGCTCTCGGATTTCATCGAAAATATCTTTGTGTTCCGAAGATGAAAAAAGGTCTTACGGGTTTGGAATGACATGAGGGTGAGTAATTAATGACAGAATATTTATTTTTGGGTGAACTATTAATACATGCTGTAAAAATATATTGCTCATGTTAAATCATTTTTGTAAAAGTTTAACATAGTAGTAATGTTGTTTTTTGCCTTGAAAATATTTATTTCGTTATTAATTCATGTTTCACCCTCTCTCTATCTACTTTGAATGAAACATGTAGCTTCTCAAACACCCACTGTTATGATTGGCTAATATCTTTACTTAGGAAAGCAGTATGAATGCTGACAACTGAGAAAATAATCCAGAATAACCTTGAAGGGTTTTATAAATCTGTATCCAGCTGTTTGATCCAGCCCAGGTAGGTTATACCGCACCCTAAGTCGTAAATATTAAATAGCCATCAACAGATACATAACATTACTTATGGCTCGGCTGTGGGGTATAGTTATAGTTTTTAACCGCTCCATCTTTGATTAACAGCTTCTTGGCAATGCCTTCACCGTATTTAACTGATTCACAAATAATCTAAGATGCAATGTCAAGCTAATTTATAGTCCCACATTAATGTAGTCGGGCGTTTTGTTAAATAATCTTAAAGGTGATAGTTTACCCAAATTGTGTCATTATTTGTTCACCCTCATGCCGTTCCAAACCTGTATGGCTTACTTTCATATGTGGTGAAAAGAAAAGATATTTTGAATAATGTTTGGGTCCAAACAACATTGAATTCTATTTACTTTACTTGTAGGGGCAAAAAATGACTTAGACATTTACAAACTATTTTCTTTTGTGTTCCACAGAAGAAAGTAAGTGTCACAGGTTTGGAGGCCCTTCCACATGAGTAAACGATGACGAAATGTTCATTTTTGGGTATCCATTTAAGCTTCTTTTTCCTAATGCTGGGCTCCTTCGGAAAGTCATGCCAGTTTCCACAGCCAGGAGCAGCACAATTATCTTAATCTTTTTAACTTGTCTCAACGTCTTAAAAACGTGTTAGCGAGGCACGCCATAACGGTCAAAGATGTCCGTCAAGTGTGCATTTCGCAGAAAAACAATTAAAATGTGCAGACTGACATGTTTTTCTAGCTATATGCAGCAGAGTGGACGTGACGAGCAGAACTTCTTTTAAGTTAAAAACAAGGCACAGAGATGAATGAACATGTCTTAAGTGAACGAGGCAAAAAGACCCATTGTCAATACTGTAGCAATGTATGAAGCACATAGAAGTCACTTTCAAACCAAGCTGCTCTCTGTTGGTCAATGACCAACTCAGTTAAATCTATTGCAAAGTCTTCATGTGGAAATCTTCATGAGGAAATCTGTGGAAACCAAATTTCTGATCACATGGATTCCTGAAATGACTGAATTTTGTCCCTTGAAATTTAGCAATAGCAACAGCAACAGCGATAAATGTGATCGCACCATTACACAACGTGTTATTATAGTGCAATGAACTAGAAAATTAAAAAGGAAAATTTGATTATCTCATGACCCATTATTCGTAAAAACAAATTAATTAACTTAAAAAAAATAATTTAGAAATTGTACTGGGATACCATGATGTAAACATACAAAAGTACTTTTCTATCATAGATCATTTGAAATCATTTTGTTTTGCTTATTTAGGACCATCTTGGACAGTGACAGGAATTCCTAGCGCTACACAAAACAGAGTCTGCATGTTGAGGCTTTTAATATATTGTTTTGTCAATTAAATGAGCAGCTGAATGCCAAGTACTTAACACTCTAAAGAACAAGGTGAATTAAGGATAAATTGCATTTAGACAGACTTCGAGTAACCGCTAGCCGACAGATGACTTATAACAACATCTTCAGAGATTTCGTCTGAGGCTGTCAAAACATAGACCCTATTTTAAAGACAAGAGACGAGCGAGACAAACATCTCAGCGGCTCCACTTGTGGGCGTCTCCCTCTTTGTGTCCTCCGCCTTTTCCACATTCTCCACACTGTGACAGGAAGTTGTGGGACTCTCTTGCAATGTTGCACCTGTTGCCGGGGCAGCGGGTCAACAAAACAAGCTGCCGCCCCCACGTAGGTCTTTGGATGGTGACGTTCGAGAGCATGTCGGATCTGTCAGCACTGTTATCCGAGCATGCTAGGAGCTGTTGAGAGCCGTTAGGAGTGGTATAAATGTAGACAACCTCCCCATTACTCAGCATCAAGGAGGCAGGAAGGTGTGACTAGGTGCAATTTTACCTCCATCCTCAAATGAGCAGGCAACTGTCCTGGCACGAAAACTTGAAGAGGTTGATGTTGAAAAGAAGAGTCGGGATATCAGTTCCTTGGTGGGTGCATCCACCAGTGAGCATCAGGAGATGAGAAGAGAATGCCTTCCGTTCCAAAAACATGCGTTCTTCCATATTGAACACCAATCCTTTTATTTGGATCGATCAAGTCTGCTTTGATCAAAGCAGCGGCTGATTGTTTGCAGGATTTTGCATCTTATTTTCTGTAGTTGATCAGTGGTTTTGATGTCAGCGGGGGATATTCTTGGACAACTGACAGCAATCTGTTCATGGCCAATTAAAGGCTCCTTTTGACTTTTGCACGCACGTTTTCGTGTTTTTCAAAATGTCTGGTCGTTACCAGCATGTGGTTGTACGAGGCCCCCTGTCAGAGTCTCCATCTGACCTGCAGTTGTCTAGCGGCGTAAACAAGGATACCAAAGGTTGTTGTAGATGGCATTGGCGAAATCTTTCCACTGCCCCAATAAAGTGCTGATTCTGACATTGCAAACGGAAATTTCTAAGTAATTAATGACAACCAGTTGAAATCTGAAAGTAATCACCATGCTGTGTTGTGAGTTTAGAAGCTGTGCTGGGCCAGAAACAGAACGTGAGAGAAAGGCTGTTTCATGTGATGCCCAAAAGTGTTGTCTGGGTAGGCAGCTTACTACGTTTTTACTTGAAGGTAAAAATTTTACTTGATAATTCAAAGGTCATATGAAGGCCAAAAATGTTTTAATCTGAAGTTAAAGTTTTAAATCGAACATTTGAAAGTGCTTATGATACCCAGAAATGCTGTTAGGCACTAGGTTCTCAATTGAAGTACAAGAGTTTTGTCCTTTTTGACCGTTGACACATGCCAAAAAATGCAGTCTAGGTTGGGATCCGAGGTGTTAAAGTTTAAATTAAGCACCTGAAAGTGCACATGATGGCCAAAAATGTTGTTTAGCTTTTAATCTGAAGGTTAATGATGTCTAGGTAAGGCAGCTCACTAGGTTTCAAATTGAAGTGGTTTTAGCCATTGTTTTTGCCCATTTTGTTCTTTTTTGCCACTTTTTTAATGCCCAAAAATGCTTTTCAAATATGCATATGATAACCAAATATGCAATTCAGTTTTGGTCTTTAAACTGACAGTTCAAAAGTGCATATAAGGCAGTCCATTAGGTTACATTTTTGGCCTTTGATCACTTGAACAGACGTAGGATGCTTAAAATATGCAATTCAGTTTTGGTCTTTAAACTGACAGTTCAAAAGTGCATATAAGGCAGTCCATTAGGTTACATTTTTGGCCTTTGATCACTTGAACAGACGTAGGATGCTTAAAATATGCAATTCAGTTTTGGTCTTTAAACTGACAGTTCAAAAGTGCATATAAGGCAGTCCATTAGGTTACATTTTTGGCCTTTGATCACTTGAACAGACGTAGGATGCTTAAAAAGGTCATTTAGGTGGGCACTATTTCAAGGTTTAATCTAAAGTGTTTTGACTTGGCCTATGAATTGAATGTTTGAGTGTACGTTAGGCATCACTAGGTCGAGACGGTCCTTGGGAGATGGTTCACACTTGCATGATCTGTTGAATGAAACATTTGACCTTATGCCATGTCAAAATTGTTCCATTGGTATTTTTTTATTTTCATTTGTAAGGCTAGGTAGGTGGGGCTGTCGAAAGATACCACTCACATGTCTGTAGTTGAAAACCCATGCCCCACCCTCACTATCCCATGAACTTATTGAAGACAGGTCAACCTTTTATGTCTTCCCTAATAATCTTATTACATCTTTGCTAACACACCTGATGGAAAATATCAGTCTGAAGATGTGTCATCACTCCTGTGTGCTTGGGTTTGCCCATACTTGATCTCATTTCATGTAGATTATTCTTCTAAATATTCTTCTCTAAGTGCCTTGAGCTCAAAACCATCACTCAAGGAATTTTTTCTTTATATGTACACACCGCTGTTCAAAAGTGTAGGGTCTGTAAGACTTAAGATCAACAAGGCTTTATGTATTTGATCAAAAGTACAGTTATGTTGTGAAATATTAATACAATTTAAAATATATATTTTTTTATTTTAATGTATTTAAAAATTTAATTTATTCTTGTGATAGTAAAGCTGAATTTTCAGTATCATTACTTCAGTTTTCAGTGTCACACGATCCTTCAGAAATCATTCTAATATGCTGATTTGCTGCTCAAGAACCCTTTTTTTTTTCTTTATTCTTTGTAACAGTATAAAGTCTTTTGCTATGATTTTTGATCAATTTAATGCATCCTTGCCGAATGAAATTAAAGTTTTAATTTCTTTAAAAACAAAACCTCAACAGTAGTGTGTCTGAACATAAAACCTGAAACCAGTTTCAAGATAGCTTGGCATAAATTAAGATCTTCCTTTCCTTGAAAAACTGAGGCTTAGCCAGGTATGTTTGCAGTGCAACATATCCAATTTCCCAAACCGGCTCACAGCCAGGCTGACTATTTTTATAGATGCATCTGATTTATGCCAAGTTAACCTTAAACTGACCAAATAATCCACCTGACAAGATCCTGTTTCCTTCCACATGAGCAAACAGTTAAAAACACAATATTAAAACATGTATAATGATGTGTAATGCTCTATAATGTATCTAAATTAAGTGTATGATGTTTTCTGCCGTAGCTTCTGGAATATGTCGGGAAAGGGAAGAGCATCATGGACGTTGGTCTGGCTCAGGCCCGACAGCCCCTCACGACACGAAGTCACTACTTTGAAGTGGAGATTGTGGATCCCGGAGAGAAGTGCTACATCGCCCTGGGTCTGGCAAGAAGAGTAAGTCATTTGCTGTATTGTTCCACATTTATAAATTAGCTACTTGGTTTAAAAGCATCTGCTAAATCAGTGAATGTAGGGAAGTGCATTTAGTTTAGTTTTTGTTTTTTTAGATATTTTTGGCAATAGTGTAGTCTTTTGATAAAAAATTCCCAGTGTTTTTTTTTGGGTCAAGGAATGAACAAGAAGAGAAGTGTACAATAAGCTCTGGATATACACCAAGATCGCAAATGCAGCTTCACAACACTGTGTCCTCATAACAGTTAGAGTCCGACATTCTAAAATGCCCTGAGGTGCAGAATGCATATAGAACAGCGGTTTGAGCAAATCACCTCAAACGAACAGTTCACTCATCTGTCATGATTTACTCATCTTCAAGTCGATCCCTTATGACTTAATTTCTTCTGTCAAATGGTGTCCAGTGGCTGTTAGGCTCCAAAAATGCATCATAAAAGATTCATAAAAGTAGTTCAAATGACTCATGCAATATTACAAGTCTTTTTTAAAAACCTTACACAGTCATTGTACGAGCAACAGACCAGTTATTTACTTAAAAACCTTGCCTTGGGCATAGCTTTCAAATCTCACATTTCAAATCTGTTTAGAATATAATGTCCTTCAACTACTTTTTAATGTATTTATGGTGGTTTTGCCATTCTGTTTTGTTGTATGTAAAAGAGCAGTGTGAACTTTTTTAGTTTAGTGTTATTTATGTGTTATATGTACGTGTGCAGTGGTGCTCTGAAATGAGAAGGCAAAGTCCTCATTTTTTCTTTCTTTTTATTTTTAAATGAAATGTAAATTCGTGTCCCAGTCACATTTTCTTTCTTCATTACTTAGACAATCAAAAAAAGGGGGAAAAAAATATTCTATTTTATATTTTACTAGGGCTGCCCTCGACTGAAGATTTTTCTACATTTACATTTTCTCCAAAATAATAATTTTACATTTATTCCAAAATAATAATTCAAGGCAGAAACAGTGTAAACAATATATTTTATTTGTGAACTTATGTTCAGCTATTCTTTTTAATAATTAACTTTTAGCTATTTGTGCATTTTTCGGATCATCAGTCATCAAAGCTCGGTAAATTTTGGTCACAAACACGGAGATTAATTACTTTACATTTCGCCAAGCTGATTAATGTTATATTTTATATTATTGGTGTTTTTTTTAATTTTTGTACTACAAATTATTTTCTCATCCAGTATTTTGAGGAGACACTGCCTCCCTTGCTTCCTCGGAGGAAACACCCTATAAAAACAATATTTTAAATGAGCTTTTATCTTTAAATTTTTAGTTTAGTTTTTTTGTTATTATTATTTAGGTTTAATATTTTAATTTCAGCTGTAGTTTTAGTATGTGTTTATTTCCATTTTGTAATTTTAGTGCAACGTTTTTAATTTTTGGTTTATAGTATATATAAATGTTTTTAATGGTTTCAGTTGTAGCTAGCGATAATAACCCTAAATTACAAGGTTGAGTAAATGAGTTTTTTTTGTTGTTGTTTTTTGAGTGAACTATTCAGGAATAGTTAAGGTGGGGACAGGAACGTGACCACCGTGTTCTTCTCTCTTCCTGACATCCTGTACAAGACCATGAAGAAAGTGGAGGGTAATTAGTCTCAGGTTGGGAACGGCAGACGGTAAACAAGTCTGTCATGTTGAGTCGTGCGAGGCCGCTGGTTGCTCAGAGAAACGGAGAGCAATTTGTTATTGTTTTTTCTAATTTTGACGTTTGCTGGAACTTTGCATCTGCGTTTCATTAAGTATCAAATATCAGTTAAAGCATTGCTGCCTAATTACTGTTTACTCCCATTGGACGTGTACCGTGTTCCCTGCATCCTGTGGCTGGAGAGACGTTTACAAACAATGTGGTTGTTACTTGTTACAACATCAAGTGCGCGTATCACCTCTGCCGTTTGAGGAACAGCCGCGGAATGGCAACCAGCCTAGGTAATGGCAGGATCTCAGCTGCGGTGAGAACATCAGATGGGCAGAATTATAAGATAGTCTGTTCTCTGCCAGTCCCAGTTTCGGTCTGAGTATGATGGCGGATGTGGGGAGGAAGAGCCGAGCTCTTATCTGCGATCAGTGAACCCTCACCCCCTGTGAACGGGGACTTTAGCTGGCCGTACGAGCTCGTACACATGCATCCGGAATATACACTGGGTTGCTAGGATGCAAGACAAAGATTTTCTTGGTTCTAACGAGGGGCGGAGGTGCGTACTGGAGCCTCAGCGGTCACGTCTGCGTGAATGAGTTCAACCCATATCACCTCCTGACCTTCCCCTCTTGCACCAACCCTTTCCTTTGCTCTCATCCGGCTCTCTAGCACTTCCCATGGAGCAATCGCGGGAGTGTGTGTTCCTGAAAACCCTGGTGTCCTCATTTATTTGGGAAACATGCACATTTCAAAGTGCAGATCAACTTTTGAAGTGTTCGGCACGAAACACAATAGTCCATCTGTCACCAATCCATCTGACCTTTTCTGGCACTCCATTGTATTTTTGGGTGTTTCTTCAACTTTGGCCACTTTTAAGATATTAAGAACTGCCTTGGAAAGATTTTTCCTTTATAAAATATGCTGCTTTCCAAATGTCTTGTATTGGTAGATTTTATTGTTTTAGCCTTGTATTTAACTCTTAACTGTGGAAATCCACCATTAAAATATGAATAGTTACATGTTTAAAACAGATAATCTGAAAGAAAAATAAAACATTTCATTATGTATTATGCATACATATTATGTATTATGAATACACTACAGTTTTAAATCATTTATGTTTTTGAAAGTCTCTTATTCCCCCCAATAATTTGAATATTTGAATATATTTTAAACTGTAAGTTATTCCTGTGATATCAAAGCTGAATTTTCAGCATCATTACTCCAGTCTTCCGTGTTACAATATCCTTCATAAATCCTTCTAATATAGTGATTTGTTGCTGAAATATTTATTATTATCAATGTTGAACACAGTTGTGCTGCTTAATATTTTTGTGTCTTTTCTAACATTAGAAATGTCTTTACTATGAATTTCTTTAAAGTCTTATACATCCCAAATGTTATGAATGTTTTACATTTTTAAATTTGAAGTTTTTTTTTTTAATTTAAAAAAAGAGACTGTCCCACAACTGTAGCATAATTTTGCCACTAGTAAAGTTTTTTCAAAAGTTAGTGCACTTTCTTGAGAAGAAATATGAGACAAGTGATGTGTGAAGAAAACAAATTAATATAATTTGTGAACAGAACATTTTTATTTCCAGTCAAGCTATAATTGTCAAATTATGTAAAATGTGTGGAAATCTTATGTATTTAAAAAGCAATAAAAACTTGCTAGCAAGACAGAGAAGTTAGTTGTTTTATTCCAAAAATGCTTTAAATATCATTTCCACCACTATCATTTCTATCACACAATATTAAATGCATAAACTGAAGTGTGATTGAATTGACACAAAAAAAAAGGAAAATATGGACAAGAATTCTCCTTTGATTTATATACATATACACTGTTGGACATTGTCAGGGGTGAAATTAAAAGCAGTATAAAGCAGCAGATAGTATATAGCTCTTATCCCTGGTTAGGCTTTTACTTTTACTCTTTCTAAAAGTGCTCATAGTTTATTGTTTCACGATGACAGCCATTCCCAGCACCCGTATTGTGGTGGTTGAGGGCAGGTACCCTCTTGGCCTAATCTCTGCACTATATGCCATGTAGAGATGTGCATCTGCCTCCACCGGCAGCCTCTCCGCTACTTGTTGTCTTTGCCACAGTGTGGAAATGCAGGCAGCTCGAGTATCGCACATAAAAGCCCCGGGTGGATCTGATAGCGCTCTGCCGTGGACACATATGCTACTGTTTGTGTTTCTTGGAAGCTCGATGCTTCTCTCTAATGGCTTTTGCAGTCTCCTCAGGGGGCCAAAACGCTATATGCATGAACAGCTCCTCTTCTCAAACAGGAGTATGCGGTATATAATTTCATTTGACGAATTAAAAAAAAACTGTTATGTGGGTTGCTGGGCCGAGCGGGGTGATTGATGGCTTGTGTGCATTGCGTGGCATGCTGAAGTGTCTGTTTGCTTGTGTGTTTATACGCTGTACATGATATGGAACGCAGATGTAATCGTACGAATGCACGGAATGCGCTATCATTTATCATGGTGTCAGGGCACAGATGTAAACTCATTGGAAATTAAGTAATGTTTGCAAACAGTTTACTTTGTCATGTGTCGTTCCAGAGAACGCCACTCCATTGTCTCTACATGTTTAGAGCTGTTTGTCAGATTCGCGTTTGTCAGGTATCATCATCATCCCCGTGCTTTCTGTTGCACAACTTCATCATCTAGTCCCGAGCTTCACCTACACCGGCGGACTGAGGGATGTTAAACGAGTCATCTTACTTTCTTAGAAAGGGTCTTTGTGACTTGTTTAAAGTATCTGTCCGTTTTAGGACAGTTTTGATCCCCTGGTCTATGTTTTCTCCTCTTCCTTATTAGATAAACAGATGAAAAGATCTCGACTTGAACCATAACACAACCCTCTTTCAGCCTTAACCAATACAGATCCCCTTGTAATCCTCTAGACGAGATTACAGAATGCCAGCACATGGAATTCTGGCATTCTGCTCACCTGTGTTACACTTATTTTATTGTTGTTTTTGGAAAGAAATGATTTTAGGAATTAGTATTTATTTTTAAGAAAGACATTCTTAATGCATCATACGTGTAGTCTTTTTGCATTTTTAATGCACACTGTTATGTATCATTTCTTTTCATAAGTAACTCTTTTAATTACAGCATCCACAATATTGTTACTGTGGCTACAATTAGTTGTCAACCAACACTACTGTTTAAAAGTTTGGGCTCACTAAGAGTTTCTTTTTATTAATTTAATTAAGACTTTCTTTTTTATTTGAAAGAAATGAATTTTATTTAAAGAAATTAATACTTTTTTCCACAAGGATGCATTGATTAATTGCTCAAAAGTGAGAGTGAAGACT